AATAATAAGAAAATATTTACAATGAATAAGCTTGTTTTAGAATTTTTATTAAATGCATTTGATTCATCTATATCTAACAAGCTTGATTTTTTTTTGATAGTGCTTACACTTTATAAAAATTCATAGAAGCATATCAAGAGAACTTAGAGGCGATCCGACAAGCTTTGGCGGCTTCCTCTTCAAGTTTAATTGGAGCATCATCATGCACACGGTCGCTAGGCGATAGCCCTAGCGAGGTATGCGATTCAGATTCTGAAAGTGAATTATCAATTAGCAAACTCGCATGTGCATATGATAAATTAATGCATGCCTATACTAAGTTGCATAAAAATTTCATTGATTTAAAAAGCAAGCATGTAGAGTTAAAATCTGATTATGAGTTATTAGCATCTAAGATTGAAACTATTTCTAATAAAAATATGATCCTCAAAGAAAATAATAAAAAAATTAAAATTGGATCATATTGCTTTGACTTCAAACATTGCTAATTTAACTCATGAGAAAGACAATGTCATATTAGAAGTAGAAAATATTAAAAATAAAGTTAGTTCTTTTGCTAACACTTATATATGTTCTACTTCTAATAACAATACATTTGCGCAAAATGATGAGTTGAATCATGTTAAGGATTGTATATCTACCTTAGATTCAACCCTTAAAACATGCATTGTTAATCATAATAAGCTTATGGACTTGTGTGCAAAGTCCCATGTAAATTCTTCTAAGAAACCCACACACTATGCACACATGTATGTCAAAGTTTATAAGTGTTCCATTTGCGGTTGAAAAGGCCGTATTGCTAAATTTTGCTATGATGCACAAAAACCTATAATTAATAATTATATTGCTCCTTGTGCATCTCATCAAGTTTCTTCATTACACACATATGCACATAACATTTATCATAGGCATTCTCATGTGTTTAAATGTGATCTTTATGGTCGATTTGGCCATTTGCCAAAGTTTTGTTTTGATTTGAGAAATTGTTCAAACTTGCTAAATTTTTCGAATAGACCATATTTGTTTGATAATGTTTCATATTTACAAAATGATTTTAAAAGACCATCTTTATTTGCAAATGTTTCTCGTGCACATCTAAATGATCTACAAAAATAAATGAGCCTCTTTCATTACACATATTACAATCGGAATGGTCATTTGAGTAATTATTATTATAACCGGACTAATGCACTAAATGCGCCCAAATGGGTTCATAGCTTAGGGCTTTGAGCTTAAATGATAGGGGTCATGTTCCTAAATCTTTCGGCACCAAGAATGCTTGGGAACCAAAATCTTTTTAATTTTAAATCAAGATTTTTATTGTTTTTATTTTTCATTTCTTGGTTTTGAAAAACGTGTTTTAAAATTTTTGTAAATAAAAATAATTTTTTTGGTCAATTCTTTTGTTTTCATTTTATTGACTTTGATTTTGATGAGAGGTTTGTGTTTAAGCAACCCCCCGGATTTATTGGGTGTTTATTTCCCAAATCATGTTTACCGGGTGCTTTAAATGTTTATATGGGTTGAAACAAGCTCAAGAGCTTGATATTATTGCCTCTCTTGCCATTATGATATTGATTTACTTCTTTTGTGATTTACTTATGATTTATGATTTCATTTGGTTGAATTGTTTTTATTTAAAAACTTTTTTTATGATTATCATGTTTTTCTTTCTTTTGATTTCATAAATCTATTTATACATTGTTTTTATGTTTATGTATTGAGACACATTTTTTCATATTGATATATCTATATGTGTTCTCATGGTCGTGTTGTATGTGAGTTATATTTAGCATGTTTCTCATTTATGCTTTTACTCACATATTCTCATGGTCGTGTTGTATGTGAGTTATATTTAGCATGTTTCTCATTTATGCTTTTACTCACATATGTTTGCCTTGGTCATCATTGTATGTGAGTTATATTTAGCATGTTTCTCATTTATGCTTTTACTCACATATGTTTGCCTTGGTCATCATTGCATATAATTATTAAGGTTTTTTGATAGGGGGAGCTATTCCCTATTATTTGTTTCTATACTCACTATGCTTATAGATAGGGGGAGATTTCGCTTTCCTATTTCTTTTATATCCCATTTTTTATGTTTTCAAAAGGGGAGAAATATATGAGTATATTTATATTTATGAGTATTGTGCTTTATTGTATATTTTATATACTCTTTGTATAAATTATTTGTCATCATCAAAACAAAAAGGCCAACACATTTTTCTTATGAGATACACTAGTAATCTTAGATGTCAAGGAAATATGATCCAATTTTAATTTTTCATTGTTTTATTTGAGAATCATATTTTATTTAGCAATAGTATTAAATTTAGATGCTAGCGATTCATGATCGGATTTCAAATTTACATGCTTGCTTTTTAAATCAATAAAATTATGATGCAATTTATTATAGGCATGTATTAAACGTTCATATGCACAAGCGAGTTCATCAATAGATAAATCATTTTCAGAATCGGACTCGTATACCTCACTAGGACTATCACCTAATGGCCATGTGCATGATGTAGCTCTAATTTTACTTGAAGTAGAATCTGCCAAAACACGTCGCATATCCTCCAAATATAAATTTCTAGAGATTGAGTTTAGTAAAACTTCTCTGAAAACTAGAGAGATAGAGATATGAAAATTGAAGCTCAAAAACTAAAATGATATCCTCCTATTGTGAAGCTCTCTTCATATAAACAACATACTTAATTTTCTTTAAAAACTCTTAAACAAACTTGCAAACTTATTTAAAAACTCTTCTTCATTAATACTAAGTATTGAGTATAGAGAGTTATATAGGTTCTTAAAACAAAGCCCAAAACCAAAGAAAACCCCCCAAAATAATAAAATCCTTAAAAATCCAGAACTAGCTGTTACAGTGCCGTCGGTCGACTGATGTACTGTTCAGTCGACTGATGAGCTGACCATTGACTTATCCTGGAAAACTATCGGTCGACTGATGCAAACCATCGGTCGACTGAAAATACTGTTCAGTCGACTGATTGAGGTCGGTCGACTGAGCAGAAACTTTTTAGCAATTGCAGAGCAGTTCTTCAGTTGACTAATGCATAGTATTGGTCGACTAAAAATAATGTTCAGTCGACTGATGAAGGTCGGTCGATTAAGAAAAAACATTTCGGCAATTGTAGAGCACTTCATCGGTCAACTGATGAACAGTATCAGTCGACTGATGAATAGTATCAGTCGATTGAAAAACATGCACAACCTGGTTTTGAATTGTAATTCTGATTTTCAAAGAGCTTTTAAAATTAGCAAATAAATTCTAAAAATTATAAAATTTAGGGAAATGTTTATATACATGAATATAAACATGTTAGAAAATATTTTTTGAAATATTATTCCCCATTTGTGAAAACTCATCATTTTGTAAAATCTCAAAAATACGGGTTCGTTTAAACACTTGATTTTGACAAAATGGTTCAAACTGAGTTTTGGAATCTTTTAGAATGATTTAAGAGAATTTATAAAAGATATAAAACTTTGTTTTAAGTCAATAAACCACAAACTCAATTTTCTCAAAAATACTCATATTATGAGAAATTTGTGTGTGTATAAAATTGAGCTATAAGCATAACACGCAAAATATAATTCCAAAAAACTATTTTACTCAAGTTGATGTGCATGAAGCTTGGTCTTGAATCTTAGACTAGAATTATGTTGGCTTCATTTCTTTCAACCTAGATACATGATAGACAAAACACAAATACTGGAAAATATAGTTATAAATTGTTTGTTAACCATCAAAATTATATTAGAGAGTAGGATCACCATGAGTCCTAACAAAGGGTACTGTCAATGCATTCGATGTACTCAAGAAAGTTAAGCGTTGACAATTTATAGGTAAAGTTATAGTCAGGACTTAGGAGTAAGGGGCTGTTTGGTTACTTTCTTTCACTTTCCAAAACTCGTTTTCCTTTACTTTTTGATGTTTCCCTCACTTTCTTGGAAGAGTGTTCCTTGTGTTCATTTCGTAAAGAAATATGGGGAATAATTACTTTCCATCACTTTCTTTAGATTGGTTCATATTGAAAAAAAACAAGAAAATAATTAATGTGTGACTTGATTCCCTCATTTTCTAATGTTTGGTTTAAACTAAAAAAATAGAAGAAACTATGATTGTGGTCACCATGGTGTGCTTACCACTCAAATAGGACAAAATCTTTGTCAAATATAAGTGGAGTGAGAATACCCACCATTTGAGGGTCTAAAATTCTAAAATATGACCACTTTTAAATATAATGTAGTAATTTGTAAAAATTAAAAAGATTTAAGGGACTAATTATGAACATTTAGGGGAGTAAGTCGAAATCTTTAATTATTTTAGAGACTAATTTATGTTTTTATGAAGCCATTTAAGAGAATAAATTCAAAATATGAATATTTGAGAGAGGAAATTGAAATTGTTTAAAGATTTGGGAGTCTACTTTTAAATATACGAAAACGTGCACACACAGTAAATGAGACCACTAGTCCCGTGGAAAATACAGAAATATAATCCATGAACCTAGTAGTCCCGTGGATTTCCTCGAAACTCAACATCATAGAATATTGGTCCTATCACTAGGCAAAGACTAGTATATAGAACATGCAAAAGAAACAATAGATTGCATTAGAGATGGATTACACATGTCAAAGAATAGAAGTATTGGTCCTAGCACTAGGCAAAGACTAGTATATTGAACATGCAAAAGAAACCAGCCTACACCCTCAATTACTACCAGCATTTCAATGATTCAAGCTTACCTCTAAGTGAAATCCAACATCTTCTTAGTTAATTGAACTTAATAAATTATATATCATAATCATAACCTTAGAGCCTTGAACGCATCTTCATGAAAATGTAGGATATGGCTCTTGACAATAAGATCTATTTGAAAAATCCGAAAAATCTAGTTGAAAAATCCAAGACTAAAACCAAGTAAAAAACCAAGACAAGAACAATTTAAGACTGAATCCGAGACTAAAACCTGATGTCAAAAGAGAAAAATATGCTCAGTTATGTCATTTTCTTCATTATATGCCTCGTCGTGAAATTTATGATAGCAATGTTGGCTGTAATTATCATAATGACCCTACAAAATAAACAATGTCATCATGAATTGTCTCGCCATTAGATTACTATATAAACTTTGGATGCATATTTCAAGATAGCATAAACAATGATAACAACAGTCATACCATCACACTAGAAATGTATAGGATACTCTTAGTCCATTAAGGGCCTGTTTGTTTCGCAAAAAAAAGGGCTGAAAGTGAAGAAAAGCTTAAAAATGAAAACTGACAAGGGGGTTTGTGTCAGTTTTCAATATTTACGGTTGTTTGGTTCGTTCAAAGCAGAAACGAAAGGGGGCTGGAAAATCGTTGCCACGTGAGCTTTGGAGGAAAATGTGTTTCCGTTCTGAAATAGCCGAAATCGCTGGAAAGTGATCAAAGTC